GCAACGAACAAGCAACTCTGGCGAATGGAGGCGGAAGGAGCGAGAGTGCTGGCGAGTGGCGTCTTGTCGGATGAGGTCGCCACCAGTAACGATTGCAGCAGCCGCAGCGGAGAAAGGTCGTATCGTGAGTGCGTCGACGCGGCAACGTGCCAAGGCTGCTGCTGCTGCTGCTGCTGCTGCTGCTGCTGCTGCTGCTGCTGCTGCTGCTGCTGCTGGTCAGGTGAGTGAGTGTGAGTGTTGCGAGAGTGCAGCTTGGCATAGGCCGAGCGCAGTAGGCCGACTCGCCAATGAGGGGCCGCGGGGGGCGGCACCTCCCAACTCCCTCCCAACTTTACCAATTGGGTGTGGGCTCTCTCGCTGCTTGCTCTCTCTCTCTCTCTCTCTCTCTCTCTCTCTCTCTCTCTCTCTCTGCAACGATTTTCGTATCCCTGCGCGTTCGCCTGCCTCCTCCTTTTCGTTTTTTTTTGGTGCAAGCAAGAATATACCATCTGCCACTCCTTGTGCGTGACCCACTTGATTGTGACCTGCGACGACGTAGAAAGATCGATTGATGTGTTCCAAAGACTTTGCTCGCCTATGAGTTCTTGCTTTTTCTCGAAATGTTTTTGTTGATACTGTTTGAAGAATGTAGATGGCGGAAGGATGTGCGCTGGACTGTGGGTGGGAACGTCGGCAATGAGGTCAGTTACAGTTTGGAACTCGGTGAGAGATGCCTTTTTCGTTTTATAGAATTTACAAAGCAACTTGGCTCATTAACCGACAAATGTCGCGAATTTCATGTGTGATCGTGATGTGTCCGTTACTACTCGCTAATGCCTTAGCATTCAGAGGTGATATTTTTCCGATCGTCTAATAGTCGAACAGTCGACAGTGTTTGTTCGCTCGTTTTTATTTCAGATGATCTGCTGTCCGCGTTTACTGATCGCGATTCACCTGCTCGACCGAAACGGATTTTAAACGGAGAAGCAGTAAGAATGAACCGGGAGATAAAATACCAAGTACTGATTCGTGGCAAACCAAAGGGCAAATTTGTATGTGGCGGCAGCATAATTGGCGAACAATCCGTACTCACGGCTGCTCACTGCCTAGTCAACAACGAAAACGAGACTTTCATGGAGCTGCCGCCAGTTATTTTGGCTGGAATAACCAATGCTCGTGCAAAACAACATGGGCATTACTTCAAATCGGATGTCATCAAGGCCTACATTCCGAAAGATTTCAAATGGCAAGACCAAGAAACTGCATCTATTGCAGACATCGCTGTATTGAAGGTACGTATAATTGGCAATGTATCCCGTAATGTATGGGCAAAGTACTGCTACGAAGAATTGTTAAAGTATGCTCATGGACACTATCCTATATCTTACAAAGTCTTGGATAACATATGGGACAAAGTCTAGGACACAGGTAGCCGATTAAAATGTCCATAAAGTATGTTCATTATCGTACTTTTCCCATAGTTTTTTACGCCCCAAAATACCGTAACCTTAACACTATTTTTGCATATAGCTTCAGCATAATTTTGGGCGCAGATACTATTTAAGTAAAATTAATTTGCCTGCCGTTAATATGACAAAGAGCTACGACGGAATTAGAGCTTTGGTGACAGGATACGGCTATGATGATATTGAGTGCAATGCCGGTGACGAGGACGCAAATTGCAAATGGTCGTGGAGTGGTCAACTGAACAAAATGATTGTGAGAATAATTACTAGTGAAGAGTCTGACTCACTGTTAGATTACTGCAAGCCTAGAGAAAAGTTCATCTGTGCCGTCATTGATCCACGCTACGAAAGTGGAGGACCATGTAGTGTAAGTCTGTCATTGTCACTGTATAAGGGAAATATGATCTTGAAAATTGGTTGCGGGATCTTGTTATTTTTATTCCCAAATCAATTTTTTAGGGCGACAGCGGAGGTCCTCTTGTTTTTAATAATACTGTCATTGGTGTTATGATTAACAGTCCCGAATGGTGCGATCAAGTTCGGGTTCCTGGGCGATACACTCGAGTGGCAACTTACATTGACTTTATTCGTAATGCCATGAACGATGTGGCGACGCTCGATATGCGTGTTCATTCTTGGACGACCCGAGGTTGAAACGTCGTGAATACAAAGAATGGCCTGTAGTCAGTTAACTAATAAAAAGTTCAGTAGACCATGTGTATAATTAGCAACTTTTCTATTGTCTATGAAGCAGTGAAAACAGATACAAGGATCCCCGTACATACGACGCTTCTTCTTCCAACATTTCTCCATTCGCAGGGCGAAAGATTCAGCAATTGAAAAAACGCTCCAATGCTGCAGCTGGATAAAAAAAGAAGAACTACGAAGAAAAGCAAGCATCTCCAAGTTTCTTCACTTTCTCTCGTGCACACAACAGGGAGAGAGGTGCGCTACGCGGTGAAAGCAAAGCAGGCGGACAAAGAAGCCGGTAAAACGCGAAAGGGAGCAAAAAAAGGAGAGAAAGAGAGTAGATGAATAGAGTGGAGAGAGAGTTGCACTTGACGCATAGCGATGACATGCCGAGAATACGAGGTACTACGGAAGACAGCCGCGCATTTTTCTCGCACGGCTTCAATTATTACTTTTTTCTTTCTCGTTTTCATTTTGCAGAAGGGACGCTCAATTTGTCACATGCTCGCAATAAGCCGTTGTCCCCTTCGCGATATTTTTGCAACCACGAAAATGTAATAACGCGTGGGTTTGAGATGACGGTTAGATTTGGAGATTTGGAAATCACTGTTTGCGAAAGGGAACTGCAAGAGCACGCGTACGAGCTTTAGTTTTCCGTCTGTCCCGCTAAGCGTATAAACGCGTCCCCTCTGAATGCCGTAATAACTTTGTACATGTCTCCCAAGTTGCCCAATCGGCATCGAGTGTTTGCTACCAGTCGAGCGACATTCGCTGGCTTGGCGCGCTTGTCGCTACAACAATGTCTAAGTCATCGCTGCGGATTACAAGAGGCATCGTTCGCAATGACCACAGAGAACTCGAGACGCCGAGTTTTGGCTTATACGCGAGACCACAGGAGGCAGTTCATCGATAACCCCATGCAAGACGTTGCTGTTACATGAGAGATATTCCCAATCTCCGCAGTTTGCATTTCGCCCAAGTTGTATCATTTGACTTTGGGATTGGTTGTCGAACAAAATTCACGCATCTCTCGAAATCCAATCAACGAGATTTGTCGTCAAGTCGTATAATCGGAAGCAGCTGTGATAAATTGCGGCGCTCTGGAAAAGAAAGAAAGGAGCCCAAGAGTCGGCAGCAAAGAAAAAAGCCACAAAGTTAGCGTAAGGATCAAACGTAACAAGATAGAGCAAACGCGGAGTAGTGGTAGTGGTTCGGATTAGGCGGGGGTGTCAAAAGAATGTAAAAGACGGCTTAGCCGTGGGAGAGTCGCGGCGCTATAGCATGGGACGAAGTTGGTAGCGGGAGGGTGGGGGGACCGAGGCAACGTTGCAGGAATGTCCGGTGCACTTTGAAAAGGACTCGTCCCCTGAGGCGCGACGACGGCGAGGCCAACTCTCTCTTTCGGGCCAAAGTTGGCGTCGTCGCTTGCTTCGCACTCGCGACCCTTTCTCGTCTTATGTGGCCGCTGCCTGCGGGCCTCGGAAGAAAGATCAATCGAAAACTTGAAGCTCAACTTGATGTGTGTCTTTCGCCGGAGGTACGCAGCACCGGCGGAGTGAATCTGCCACGCGAGATTTTTCATCTGCTCGGCAACTGATTTTCTTACGAGTTTTCGAAAGGCGAGTATGTGCTAGAGTCAATAATTAGTCTGAAAATAGCTGGCGCGCTTTAACTGTAATAACAGTGAGTCATTAATTCTCCAGCTACCGACATCACTCGGAGGTACTTGCATAATTAAAGCAAACATTGACTCGCGAAACGGAAAGATTTGCCAGGCACCTCGCCGACTATTAAAGGCAAGTCAATATTACAGTACGATTAAATACAAAGCCAACAGCAGAAAAATTTGCACTTCTGTGTTCCCTTGGCCCGCCGAGTTAATGCCAAATGCAAGCCGGCATATCCAATTGACGACGATGACGACGACGACGACGACGTCGCATCTCCTTCTGATATTGACCTGGAAAGGCTTTTTCTCCCGGCCGCTCCCGCCTTCACGCGCGCGCGCGCACACACACACACACACACACACACGCGCACACACACACACACACAAAGTCCTCAGCTCGCAAGGAATGAAAAGCAAATACCTTTCACTCGCGTTAGCAAATTTAATCTGCCTCTGGCATTGTAGCCCGAGTCCCCTGCCATTCCGTTTGGTAATAGAACGACGCCGAGGGGAGGAAAGCTGGTGCTGCTGCAGGTGTCGTCCGTGTAACGACTTTATCGCGAGCTTTTTCGCTCAGACGAGCTATTAAGAATGCGCGAGTCGAGCCACTCGAGAAACAATCTTGTGCTCTAACTGGCTTCGGATCGTCGCCGGCAGAAAACTATAATCGAGAAAGTTTGCAGGTGCTCAGGGCGGCAGTCGATAAAAAAGGCGGGTCGACAGGCGCGGGCGCGCGCTAAATTTGTACGCCGCGCGCCGGTCGCGGCAACTTTTGTCGGTCGGCCGCAGCAGCAGCCCGCGCGCGCGCGTAGTCGCAGACTTAATTATAAATTCGAAACCGAAGCCCCGGCGCGCAATATTCGTCGGCCGCCTCGCAAGTTGCCACGGCAAGTTTCGCCGCGCGGCGCTAGTTAGTCGCGCCTTTTACGCGACATAATTGAGTGTCACCTGGGCATAACAAATGAAGCCCTTCTCTCTCGCGAGCGTCTGGGTCAAGTTGCAGTGATTAATGGCTGGACTCCGGCTGCCGCCGCCGTTGCCGCCCTCCTGCGAGCCCCGGCGTTTGATGTGTAATTGAGAATCAAAGGGATGATTGATAATCAAGTGCCCGCTATCCGTCTTCCTTTTTCGCTCGCCCGCTGCGAAGAATTCCAAATTGCGCCGCGCGCGAATGGACTTGCGACTGGATGCGTTTCCGGCGTCGTTCGAGCGGCGCCCGCTTCCATTACGGATTGGTTGCCAATTGCCTCGAGCTCATTCGATTGCGAGCGGGGCGTCAAGATCGGCAAAAATGCTGAATGAGTGCCCCCGGCATTGTGCGAGCGCCGCTTCACGCGACTACTCGAGTAGTCGGCTCGACGTGACGTCAGCCGCAGCGTTTTTGCCGGACGCGCTCGTCGGAATATGATTTTTTCGAGCCCGAACGATGCCTCCGCTCGAGCTACACGGCGCAATTTGTCACGTCAGGCTCAGCTGGCGTGCTGCAATTCGCCGTCGGTGACTCGAGCCCGCGGGCCATTTTTTATTGCGCCTTTGACGCCAAGTGCGTCTCCCGAAACCACCTCTTGTGCGCGTCCTGCCCGGAGAAAGCTTGTATTTGCGTCGTGCGGAGCTGCAGTTTGATTCCGATCAAGCGGCTCACGGAGAGGGCGGAGAGGGCTTTAATTACATGCCAGAGACGATTCGAAGCATGCCGCTCCGCCGCTCTCTCTTTTATCCGTCGATTTGGCGAGAGTGAGCAGGGCATCCAATTAAGTGGACTTATACGGCGTGGAGTTTTGTGCCCCAGGCAGGCAGGCAGGCAGGCAGGCAGGCAGGCAGGGATAGTAGCTTTGAAGCTCCGCTCTGTGCGGGGCCAAGCTTGCGCGCATACCTGTGTACATCCGGCAGTGAGTGTAATCGATATGCGCGCGCAACGCTCTCAAAGCCAACTCTCCCAACAAGATGTAATGATTCGCCTGTTTGAAGATCGATTGCGCACACTCGCCTAGATTGACAGACAGATATACGATGCGGCGCGCGAATTTTACGTGTGGCTTCGCTCCCTTTCACTGATATTACGCTACCCCCCTCTTCGTCGAAGCCTACTCTCCGACTCGGCAGCAAAAACTGCATTGAGCAGGTGCCGCTCGGTCAGGAATACCTCGATCTTCCCTCGACACTTACCTGAAACAGACAAAGAGAAGAAGCGACTCTCAAAAACTTGGCTCAAACTTATTATAGAGAAATTAATGAATCCTAATAGGCAAAGTCAGTTTAATCCAGAAATACAAAAGTCCAACAGGCAAACTTCGAAGCAAAAGTAGCAGCAGACTTTAATGACTGTATTAAAGAAAATCCTCGGGTGCGTTTGTTTGCCATAAATTTTAGCCGACCAAGAGAGAGAGAGAGAGAGAGAGAGAGAGAGATGGGCAAGAGAGGTTGAAGGGTAGATAAGCAGTGAGCTCCTTTCCCTCCGAGTATAGTTGGGCGGGGTTTCGGCCTGCAAAATCTTGAAGGCAAACTTCGTTAATATGCATTGTCGCGCGCGCGCTTGCAACCACGGAAACACTTGCGGCCGCCGCTTAATTGGAAGCTCGGCGATAAAGAACCAACAACAAAAAACGTATACGGCTTGCGTCACCACATCGCGCCAACAAAAAATTCATCAACTCGCTTGCCGCATGATATAACGGAATCGGTCCGTTGTGCCGTCCCGTCTCGCGTGTCACGGAGCTTTTCGACTAGTAATTACGAGATGGCAAATTGGCAAAAATGACAAGGCTTCGGAAGACGATGCTTGCGATTGGCAATCGCACAAACTCAAATAAGCGTGGCAGCATCTGAAACCGCTCATGTTTATGTACGCATCCTTGACATAGTGAGCGCATGGCTCTCACCAAACAGCTAAACAAACTCATCAAAGAGCATTTAAAGCATTGAAGCGCGTGCCAAAAAGCGGAGGTGTAAGAAAGAGCGGAGCGCGTGCGCGACCTTCTTACGCGTAAAATCGTGTCTTGGCAAGCGCGAGAGAGAGAGAGAGAGAGAGAGAAAGAGAGAGAGAGAGAGCGAGAGATAGAGAGAGAGAGAGAGAGAGAGAACTCGCGCAGCAAAGTTGAGATGCTAATAACTACCTCGGCACCTCATTACCGCTTTGATCAGGACCCGCGCGCGTCGAGTTTCGCTCTCGCGCGGAAACGATCAAAGTTGCTCCCTTCGGATCCCTTCTCTCGCGGATGCTACCCTCTAACGACGTAATTACGTGTCGCTCGTGCTTTTGTCGCGTTGTTCGTTCCAGCCGACGCAATTTTCTTTCTCTGATACGTAAGTAATGACGACGATGTATCGGCCAATTCGTCGCTTCGTTATAACGAGCTGCCGCCGCCGCCAAAGCGGCTTAGCCGCTTGAAAATACCGAAGAGCACTCGATCTCTGAGCTTCTCGACCTGGGG